GTCCGGTCGAATTTAATGTTTTTTTCTTGTTTTTTTATAATAAAATTTCGGAACAAGACTTAAATATTTATTTAACCTGATTGATCTTCGTGGACGTCTTTTTCTACTTTTTAAGGCAAAACAGAAAAAAATACTAACCACATAAATTTCAGCTTAAATGATATATAACCCCTATTTGAGGACACAAATTTTGTTGCTATTTCACTTTTTTTTTTAAAGCGATTATCATAAATTTTGGACAACCTGTAGTTGTGCATTATCTGCTTCTTAAAGCTGCAATGCATAGTTTTGCATTTAAAATGCGATGGGAACGAACAGCACAAGTGTGCATTATTTCGAAATACAAACGTGCCAGAATTTTTTGGTCTGGGTGTTTTTACTATTTCCTTTTTTTTTTTTGGAGAATAGTGTCATAAGAAACGCTTGTATATCTAGCATCTGGTAGGACACATAAATTTCGGGTATTTTTTCTCTCTGGTATTTCTCACTTGGGCTTTCCATTATGTTTCCATTCTATTCGTCCAGACCGAAACGTGATAATGGCAACACACCACCACTTCAAGTGTTTTATTCCAAAGAAATATGTATGTCCATTGCTGACAGTTGGTGATAAAACTATGGAAATAATATGTCCACATTTTTTTTTTCAAATGTGTAGGTTTTTTAGGCATATATGTTTCTTAAACGATAAGCTATTGTACAGAAAATTGAATGGCAGAGCTTAAGTGAAATCAACCAAATTTATTTTCAATTTTTGTACTAATATTTGCTTAACCTTTTCTTTCTTATCATTTTTCATCTCCTTTATTCCCTCCCATAAATTCCCTAACATTTAAGTTATTTCCTTCTTAAAGGATTCCTGGCAATATTTGAAACAGAAAATCCTCAGAAATCCAACTCAAACAAATAATACCATAAAATATTACTTACCTTGAAATTAACATTTCACTCCGCTATTCATGGCTAAGCTTCGACTATGAAAAGATGTTCAACAGAATCACATTTGTTGAATATTGCCTTCCTCGTCGTCATCGTCAAATCATATTGCAATGAAATCATTTGTAAGCTAAACAAAAGCTAAAAATTCCACTCAAAATTTACAAATTCCTGTTGCAAACAAACAGCAAAAAAAAACGGAAGCCAGCATTGAAAGTGGAAGACGGTGGGGAAAGATTAGAAAAGTTTTAATACTTTAACAGCATTAGGAAACACTTGCACACCGAAGAATAAAAAGATGTGCAGTGGTAAAATCATCAACAGCAGCAGCAGCCGTAGTAACGATGCCAGCTGCCAACCAAACAGCCATCAGCCACCAGCTATGAAAACAGCAGTCATAAATACCTTACGTTAAGATATCCTTCTCAAGTCTCACCGGCGACTGCCAGAGGAGAGGAAGAAACAAAGTTGAACAAGCACAGAGGAAATTATTTGAAGTAATGCGGAAATAACAACACTTCAAGACACCAGATACCTGATACCATAATAATGCAACGTCGCAGCAGAATTCAGATGTTTGTCTTAAAGGCAGAATCTTAAGAGGGAAAATGTTGCAGTGGCATTGCTACGATGAAAAACGGGATATTCTATAGGATATACATACATATATAAAATAAGAGCTTGAAATTATTGCGATATTTGTATAACAGAATGAGTCGACCAGTATATCCCAACTTAGAATGTGATAAATTATTTATTCATCTATTCAGTTTACAGGTAAAAATATATTTTCGTAACATTACCAACTTCAAAAATTAATTTTCGATCAGACACTCTGCGTGCCCACAAAAAAAAATGCTGACCGACGGATAAAATTTTGCTTATAATTCATATTTTTAACATTCACTTAAGACTTATAGTATTGAAATCGCAACACCTCATAGTTCCAATATTTTTATATAGAAGCGTTATCCAAAAGGCCACCATACCATGAATGCAGTATTAGCTTTGTTATTCCGTCTATTCGAAATAATATGGCTGATGCTAGGATCTTGAAATGCACGAAAAGAACTTATTGGCACTATTTCTAAAATAGTACTATTTAGTACTTTTCGTGCACTTTAAGTACCCATTTCCAAAATTACTTCTTTATCAGACACGAAAACGGACCCTATCCGTTCATTTAAAAAAAAAAAATTCCAAGTCCAGTCCAAATTTCCAGTTGGCAAAGTTGATTCTCATACCAAATTTCAAGTTTTTAACCAAATTTGGCAATGGGGACAATTTCAGAGCCAAAAACCCGAAATTTGATATTAAGGTCACTGTTGGTATCTGAGGTTGAGACGTGAAGATTTATTTATCTTCTCATACAAAATCACAATGTCTTCTCATAGCAGACTAAAAGATCTTCTCATAGAAGACCGAAAGGTCTTCATCATAGAAGACCAGAAGGTCTTCACATAGAAGACCAGAAAGTCTTCTTATAGAAGACCAGGAGGTCGTCCAGAAGGTCTTCTAATAGAAGACCAGAAGATATTCTCATAGAAGACCAGGAGGTCTTTTCATAGAAGACCAGAAGGTCTTCTCATAGAAGACCAGAAGGTCTACTCATGGAAGACCAGAAGGTCTTCTCCATAGAAGACCAGAAGGACTTCTCCATAGAAGACCAGAAGGACTTCTCCATAGAAGACCAGAAGGACTTCTCCATAGAAGACCAGAAGGACTTCTCCATAGAAGACCAGAAGGACTTCTCCATACAAGACCAGAAGAAGGTCTTCTCCATACAAGACCAGAAGAAGGTCTTCTCTATAGAAGACCAGAAGAAGGTCTTCTCCATAGAAGACCAGAAAAAGGCCTTCTCCATAGAAGACCAGAAGAAGGCCTTCTCCATAGAAGACCAGAAGAAGATCTTCTCCATAGAAGACCAGAAGAAGATCATCTCCATAGAAGACCAGAAGAAGGTCTTCTCTATAGAAGACCAGAAGAAGGTCTTCTCTATAGAAGACCAGATAAAGGTCTTCTCCATAGAAGACCAGATAAAGGTCTTCTTCATAGAAGACCAGATAAAGGTCTTCTTCATAGAAGACCAGAAGAAGTTCTTCTCCATAGAAGACCAGAAGAAGGTTTACTCCATAGAAGACCAGAAGAAGGTCTACTCCATAGAAGACCAGAAGAAGGTCTTCTCCATAGAAGACCAGAAGAAGGTCTTCTCCATAGAAGACCAGAAGAAGGTCTTCTCCATAGAAGACCAGAAGAAGGTCTTCTCCATAGAAGACCAGAAGAAGGTCTTCTCCATAGAAGACCAGAAGAAAGTCTTCTCCATAGAAGACCAGAAGAAGGTCTTCTCCATAGAAGACCAGAAAAAGGTATTCTCCATAGAAGACCAGAAGAAGGTCTTCTCCATAGAAGACCAAAATGTCTTGACATAGAAGACCCAAAGGTATTGTCATAGAAGATCGAAAGACCTTGTTATGAATGACCGAAAGGTCTTCTTATAGAAGACCCAAAGTTCTTCTTATAGAAGACCGAGGGTTCTTCTTATAGAAGACCAAAAAGTCTTCTCGTAGAAAACAAGAAGTTCTTGTCATAGAATACAAGATGGTCTTCTTTCATAAAAGGTCAGAAGGTCTTCTCTCATAGAAGGTGTGTAGGTCCTCTCTCAAAGAAGATCAGAAGTTATTCCCGTATAGAAGTTAAGAAGGTCTTTTCTCTAATGGGAGATCGGAAGGTGTTCACATAGCTGACCAAAAGGAAGAACTTGAAGTTCTGCTATAGATTCATGAATGTTCTTGTAACTCTGTACGCATGTGGTCATATTTAAAACCCCGTTTCGCAACATTTTACTCTGTCATAGCTGCAACAGCAGATTACTGAATAAATCCTAATGAGATTTAAAGCAACATTTTCTGCTAGCTACGGTTATCTCTAGCGCACGTTAAATTTTCAGAAAGCAAAAAATGACGCTTATTTTCCACTTTATCCCGGGGAAGTAATATTGTAGTATCTAAAGAGTTTTAGGTGGTTAAGCTAACTATACAGTCGGATGACGTCTCTCGGTATGTAGCGATAATTGAATTGAAATGTTTAGAAACAGAAGTGATGATATTATCTAGTCTACTGATTTTACAACTTTTTGTAGATACGAGTAAATTTACAACCTTTACTTGGGTGGTAAGATACTTTGTTCAAATATAGACAAGGGGCTTTTTAAATGTCTTCTGCAGTCCATGTATATAGAGCCTGTACACAGATGTCTAGTATCCGGTATTCTCTCAGCAGAACTTTGATAGGTAGAATAATTTTAGTATGTCTTCTAGAGACAGAAGACCTGTAATTGGTCCACTATGGACAAAAAGCCTTAAACGGAATTCTGTTGACAAAACAATCTTAACAACATTTCTTAAGGTAAAGTCTTCAATATCGTCCTCTATAGATAAAATACCCTTAAATATAAGGTTTTTATGTATTTTTTTAGAGATTCATATTTTTATAGATCAAAGAAAGCTTAAAAAACATAGGTAGGCCGTTAGTAGGTCTATTAAAAGACAAAAGGTCAGTCTCTGTTTTCACATAGATCAGATATCCTTAACTCATATTCAGTAAACAGGAGACCCTCAATAAGCCTTTTTAAATAGAAGATCCTTAAAGGTTTTCCATAGACAGAAAACCTGTAAAAAGAATTAAAAAGTTTTCTATGAATAGAAAGTCCTCAGCATACATTCTCTGCATAGAAGATCCTTAACACGTCTTCTAGGAATAGAAGCCTCTTAACATGTTTTCCTATGCGTAGAAACCCCTAAACGCGTCTTCTGTGAATAGAAGATCCGTAACGGGTCATTTATAGATAGAAGACCCTCAACAGATTTCTATAGTTCGAAGACTTTTGATGGGTCTCCTCTAGATAAATATTCTACAGATAAAATAGTCTTTAAATATTTTCTATAAACAAAACTACATTTACCTGGTCTCCTAGTCATTGAAACCCTTTTGCTGGGTTATGGAAAAAAATTATTCACTGAGTCTACAAAAATTTTGGAATGAAGACAATTTTTTAGATTCATGGATTAAATTTATCAGATATAAATAAAATAGATTTCATATTTATTAACTTTTATTTTCACCTTGTTTTTTTATAAATTTTGTACCAAAACTTTGTACCACTTAATTTTATGCACTACCCGAATTCGCAATAGCCTCAGGAATCAATGAAAACATTAATGAATATCCCATCAGGGCGATATTTGCTCCAGATCCCCTAAGTATATTCTCCATGGCATTTGAGCCGAATTGAGCCAATAGAGCCGACATTGCCATCAATCCATAGGTTAGATTATTTTCATTAACCGACAAGAATACCAAGGAAACAATATTACCCAAAATAGTTAATTCTTTTAAAGTTTCTGTGGCATTGCCATCACCCTCGCTATCGAATATCTTAAACGACAAATCGAAGACCAATGGTACTACAAATAATCCATGACCCAGAGCCAGGGCTGACGACTGTTGTGATTGTATGTAGAAGTCTATGTTTATCAGCGGCACCGTAACGATATCCACACAACTTTGTGTTAAATTTTGAAACTGGCACATTGCACTATCATCGGCTGTTGGGGCATCTGCAGATCTCTGGCTGTTACTACTTCCTTCCAAAATATTGCCATAGAGACCCAAAATCCCGTGACACAAACCCACAGCACAGGCGGTGAATATGAAGGGATGTTCTGCGGGAGCAACCACACTCAGCGCGTAACCAGATGAACCCACTAAAAGGCTATTGAAAATTGCATCGACCATGTTTTTTAGGAGAGATCTTCTTTTTTTAATTTTGTAGAGAATTTTTTTGTTTAATTTTGAAAAATTAAGAAACTGACAATTTTTGTATTTTAAATGTGCCAAAGAACGAAAACAAATTTTTGAAACTAGTCTCAAAGAAAGTCGATAGAATTTAAAAATGTTAAATTTTTTTGAAAGAAGTCTAAATTTACACTATAATTGTAGAAATTAGAATAATACCCTACAACACTATGTGTGTTGGTGGTGGAGTTAGGGTCAGAATAGAAGCCCATTGTTTTTGGAGACGATAGCAAATTATTGAGGGGTTGTTATGGACCTGATTTAGCTGTTGCTTTACACTCGATACGGAATTTCGCATGTAGTTAGAGTTCAGGCTTCGTCGAAACCTGCGTCGCAGTGGCCGAAAAATGGCTCGTGAGCTGAACATATCGCAATATTCCAGTTGCAAATATTTAAAAATGAACTCTGGGTAAAGCCATTGAAATTCCAAAAAGTGGAAAAACTTACACCGCAACTGGAAGAAAATAGACTAGGCTAGAAAAGAGCTAAAGATTTGCATGGCTAGGCCGAAAGTGGTGAACAGCCGAATTTGGTTTTCTCCGATGAGAAAACATTCGTTGTCCAGCAAACAAAATGATCGTGTTTAATTGCCAACGAGGTCAACTGAAAATGTGGACCTTCGGTTGGCCACCAGAACTCAAGCGTCGGCCATGGTGATGGTGTGGGCCGCCACAGCAGCCGTTGATCGCTCTCCCCTCGTATTAATCGACCGTGGCATCAAAATAAATTCGATATTTATACCGCAGAGCAACATTTGGGCAGCGTGTGACGGTTTCATTGGCCGTTTGAAGGCCATAAATCGTGCCAAAGGTGACCAATTCGACCAAAATCTAAACATATTCTAAAATTTAATGCCATTTCCGAAATTTTTTTGTTTTTATTGAATAAAATTTAAAAATATGGCTGCAGTTTTTATACCCTCCCCCATTCTATGGATGGTGTATTTACTTTGTCATTCCGTTTGTAACTCCTCGAAATATTCATAATAGTACCACAGCCTATGACAAAAGTTTAGCAACATTATTCACCGGAATGGTTTCAAATTCTGTATTGAAAGATCTTAATGGGTACTACCACAAGATGGTCAGGATATTATGTCTTTGTGCATTTGTTTGTAACAGGCAAAAGGAAACGAAATAGACCCATAGTTCCTTTTGATGATCTGCATAGAATCACTTTCTGAGTTGATTTATGCATGTCAGTCCGTCCGTCTGTTCATGTATTCTTGTGAACAAAATGCAGGTCGCATTTATTATCCGATTGAGATGAAATTTTGCAAACAACATTTGTTTGGCCCAAGGACGAACCCTATTGAAATTGGAGATAATCGGTAAAAATTAATATATAGCTCCCATATGTATCTTCGTCCGATTTGCCTTTTATTGTGCACCAAACGTGTAATATCAGCCCGAATAGTATGGAATTTTGCACATACAACCAAATTAGGCCCGAAAATAAGTATGCCAAATTTGATCGAAATCGGTTCAGATATAGCCATATATATTGTTCATCCGATTTGTTATTTTTGTCCTCCGCAGCCGTACAATGCACTCTGTAAAAACAATATTTGGGGAAATATATCAAATGCAGCTCAGAAATACCTTTGCTAAATTTTATGGAGATCGGTTCAGATTTGGATATAGTTCCCATATATATATATATATATATATATATATATATATATATATATATATATATATATATATATATATATCTTTATCTGATTTCAAATTAATTTTGCACCAAATGGGCAATACAAGTCCAAATTAAAAAGATACAAATGCTTCGGCATATTTAGTCCTTTGAATTTTTAATTATAATTATAATCATAGCGTGTATGATTGAATTCTCCCATAAAAACTTTTAGTTATTAAGTGGAGCTCAATTAAATTAGCAAAGTGGTGTAGGGTATCATAAAATCGGCCCCGCCCGACTTTAGGACTTTCTTTACTGGTTTTTTATCTCACCTTGTATATATGTCTACGTTTTCCTATAGTCATATATAACAGTACCTACCTATCGATATTCAGTATATTGACCATTTTAGCTAAATTTTGTCAAATAATTGACAAAAAAGGACTTCCGGAAAACAATCGTGAGTTTGCTGTAATTCAGCTACTTTTTAGACATCCTATAAGTCAATATTTTAGGTCTTAATTTTGAAGTAGGCTTTAAAAAACCCATTCAGCTAAAAAAATTTCAAATATATTTTAAATAAAATCCCTTACATTTTCTCATTCCACTGATTCCACAATCCAGAATTATTCCCACCTGATTTTATTTCATATTAACTTTTTCCGCAATCTTTATATTTCTTTTAATCTTTACCTCCCCCCGGTGACTTTCCTTAAGTTACGAAATATCTTAAAATTCAATTGAACATTATTTAAAACAATTTCTATGGAAGTCACAAAAGTAATTTTTGCACAGATAAACTACCCCAAATGTATATCAGATTTCAATTGACGAAAGAAAAAAATCCTGTAACACGAAGCCTAAGCAAACGTTTACTTTTCAAATTATATTGTCATCGATTGGCGTGAAAAGTTCGTGTTTTTTCTCGACTTCTTTTTATTCCTTAGCTTGGGGAACCATTATAGTGTCAAAGCACTTAAGTACAGTGCCATCAAACAAAAGAGAAAGAAAAAGAAACAAACGACACAGAGACAGACAACGAGGCGGCAGGGCAAATGTGTGTGTCTAAGCGAGTCAAGGGACACATTTGCATGTAAAATATCCATATCCAAGCTAACAGAGTGGAAAGAACGTGATTTGATTTTAAAGATTCTGTTTCGAAGATACACATATCGGCTGAAGGCTCGGTGTGAGTGTGCAATGAACACAGAGTGCAGATGCGATAAAAAGAAATTAATAAGCTCCGGATTGGAGCAGGAGGAGTCATCAGGGTTAGTGAGTCGAGACAACTATGCCAATAAGTAGTAGATGTCTCGGAGACGAATATCCATGTAGAAAAAAAAAAGAACGAGGAGAACAAAATGAACTTAAAAATTTTAGAATATGCATGGGACAAAAAACGAGATTGACCTCCTCACCTCACCCTGTGTGTGTCATGTGAAATACGCTAATGGCATTTGAAGAATGCCACAGCAGAGACCCAAAAGAAAGAAAGACGGAATGTGTGACTACACAAAATACAAATCTAGTTAAGGAGGACATGGAGCAAAACACAACAGGGAATAGAAACGGAAATTGCATTTGTTGTTGTTGTGTTTTTTTTTCAGGAATGTTTATTTCTCCTTCTCCCATCCTTGATGTTGGAGTTATTGTTGTTTCTATTATCTGTTCGGTCTGTCTGCAAAAATCTCTGATATCAAACATTATATTGTCGACAGACCGACAGACAAAGGCAACGACAATGACGACAAGCAAAGTGATTGTTAATGATGTCATCCTTGTTGCTGTTGTCCGCGTTGGTGTCGTCCTTGTTGTTGACTGGCTGGCTGGTAGCTACATGGCATCATCTTTAGGAGATACATTTTAGAAAGCAAGACCATGTAGCCACTTGTTGAGGAATTTTATTTAGATTCACTGCCGGGGTTCATTATTAGACATGGGTTCGTTTGTTTGTTTCTTTACATTATAGGACTTGTCTTTGTCATTGTTTTCCTAATGTAATAGAACGTGATTTATCATTAAATGTCATTGATGTCATGCAGTATGAAGTGCATAATAAATGAATTACATTTTCTTTTTTTTCTCTCATATTTTTTAACTCTTTTTTCCTCTTTTTCAGGTTCAGCCTTTTGGGGATTAATCAATCCGGAATGGTCTTTGTGCAACAAAGGACGAAGACAATCGCCTGTAAATTTAGAACCTCAACGCTTACTTTTTGATCCTAATTTAAGGCCATTACATGTAGATAAACATAGGGTAAGTATGGTTTGAAGAGGAAGTGAGGAAAATAACGCATTCAGAACTTCAAAGAAATATTCACAAAAATTGTTTTAAGTTTATGAAAGTTGAAAATTAATTTTTTCAAAATATTAACCCAGCGAATGTGTTTTAGCCGGAAAATCCATTTTTACAAATAAAGACAACACCAATCGGATTTGCCAAATTGCAAAATACCCAGCTATATGAAAATAATGGATATTTCAAATATTTGTTTACAAGGTCCTCTTTGACTTTCAACAAAGTTTTTAACAAGGTTTTCTGGCACCAAAATAGTGTTAGTTTTTAAAACATTCGGCTGTAAGGATATTTTATAAAATATAAGATTTCCTGCCCATAAACCTTTTTTGTAGAAGACTTTAAGTGAATATATCATCGTCTCTTTCAACGACATAAGTTTCACGACAGTTGAAGTCGATTTATCCATGCAAGTGAACAAGATCAAGTTCGGAGATGGGTAAATTAAGTCCACTTCTTTTTTACCTCAACAAGTAAAAAAATACCCTACACCTTAAGGTAAAGGAAACATTTTTGTATAAAAGTATCTGAAGTTAAGCGTGTTTTACTTTAAACTTCATATACCAGTAAGACCTTTTGCATAAAGCAGTTAAACTTACAAAAAAAAAAAAAAAAAAACATAAAGCGTGGACCTATACATACAATGTTTCGCCAACGGAGCTAGAACCCATTAGAACACATAAATACCAATTTTTAGACAAATCCTCGAAGAAATGTGGCAAAAATCATCAAAATACCGAATATCTGGAGGTACCGTTATATGGGAGCTATACCAAAACGTGGACATACATACAATGTTTCTCCATTTATTTTATGCTGATTATGAATATATACACATTATATGGTCTACGACGAATATTTAGGGATGTTACAAATGGAATGGCAAAGTTAATATACCCTCCTTTCCAAGGTGGAGGGTATAAAAATAGGCCAAATTAGCCTAATGCGGTACTATATGGAAGGCACCGTTATGTGGGACTATGCCATAAACTTGGCACGAGAATTTGAAACCATTTAAGAGATTTGCTGGTATTACCCAATGCGATAACCTCCACCTAAAATTTCTCAACCACCAGACAATATTGGGGGAAACGGAGACCTGGAGGGTAGCATTAAATGGGGACTACACAAAAATAATTAGATGTTATTCTACCCCTAAAGTAGCCTAAAGACAAATTTTTTTTAGCCAAATGCATTTATAAATGTGGCCAAGAGCCTCGAATCTGAACTTAATTTCATATGGGCGCTACTCCGAAACATTCTAGCTAACATCCCCTTCCTTTATATATATACATTATATATATTTCTCTATATATATCCGATATTTTGACAATCGGCGTCTACGTAACGGTCAGAATTGGCCTGTTCGTCTATTTGTGATTTCGCCGCATTAAAAATATTTGCTGATTAATAGAAAATTTGACTTTTATTTATCACAATTGCTATGGGCTATTTCAACCACTAAATATTACCCGATGACCATCAAAATTGGAAGGATTCTGGCCAGCCCAAAGCTCTAGCCCCATGCTGACTTTCGCTTCGAGACAAATTTCAGACAAATCCGTGAAAGATTCATTGTCAGATTACACTGTGCTATCATTTTTGGGTCATGGTATGAGAAGTGGGAATTTCCAAGTAGAGGCTGTGGTATTCAGTTCGCAAAGAGGATTTATATGGTAAAAATAATCATGCACAAATGGCCTTAAATATTTTGTTCTGAATGTCGCAAAATTTAAGATAGAGCCTTAAATACAGGGCTTTGGGTTACATGTAGAACCATTTATAAAAAACATGGATCATGTCGGTCCAAGTTTTTGGTATACCCCCCATTTAAAAGCATACCCCGATTTCAAGCATTTCTGAAATTTTCGCCATTTTTGTACCCTCCACCTTGGAAAGGAGGGTATATTAACTTTGTCATTCCGTTTGTAATATCCCTAAATGTTCATCGTAGACCCCATAAAGTATATATATTCATAACCAGCATAAAATTCTAAGTCAATTTAACGATGTCCGTCTGTTGAAATCACGATACAACACACATTATTTGAGGTAGAGCCTCATCCTCCCGATATTAGGTATTTTGATGATTTTTGCAACAAATCAAGATCATTTGTCGCTTTTTAAATTTTATGCTCAGTTTAACCGTCCCACAAAAGCGGTTATTTGGTCATTGAACATTAAACCACCAAAGAGCTTACGTGGAGTGAAACGTGAGGAAAATAAAGCAAATTTATCGACCAGTGTTGATGATGACCCTCAACTATCGATTAGCCTCTGTTACTCAAAAACGTAGACATTTTTACGGAACGATTCCGGTGTGAAGCCTTTCAACATACAGCAGCTGAACGATTCACAGTAAAGCCAAAACGACCCATGACCCATTTTCAATACCAAAAGTCCTGCAGACATATACATTTAAGTAAAATTGTATCAACCTACTTCATTTCGGAAGCTAGAGTGATTACCACATTTATTTGAATTGTTTTTGTTTGTAATTTTTTGGGGTCGCTTAGTTTAGTTACAAAATTCTAATCATATCATACATATATTTGTTGTGATCATACTATCTTCCGAGACTTTATTTATTTATTTTTGGTTAAGAAAGACGATAAAAACATTGGTCATGTTAAAAGTCCAAGAGTTTCGGACCTTATTTTGGTTTTTCGAAAAGTGTACGCCATTTTTGTCTGGGGAGACCATTTGAATATTTTTTCTCGGAAGACAGTTTCAGAATGTCTTTAAGAAATTCGCTAGATAAAGTCTTAAAAATATTTTTTTTGAAAATACTCGAATCCTATGCATATTTGAAAAATCCGCATTTTTTGTAACGCATATATATATATATATATATATATATATATATATATATATATATATATATATATATATATATATATATATATAAATAAATATATATATATATATATATATATATATATATATATATATATATATATATATATATATATATATATATATCGCCTCCATTCAATGTTGGAGGGTATATAATAAGGGTCTATTGCGTTACAAAAAATGCGGATATTTCAAATATGCATAGGATTCGAGTATTTAAAAAAAAAATATATTTAATATATTTATATTTATTTATTTAAGACTTTATCTAGCGAATTTCTTAAAGATATTCTAAAACTGTCTTCCCAGAAAAAATATTCAAATGGTCTCCCCAGACAAAAATGGCGTACACTTTTCGAAAAACCAAAATAAGGTCCGAAACTCTTGGACTTTTAAGATGACCAATGTTTTTATCGTCTTTCTTAACCAAAAATAAATAAATAAAGTCTCGGAAGATAGTATGATCACAACAAATATATGTATGATATGATTAGAATTTTGTAACTAAAGTAAGCGACCCCAAAAAATTACAAAAAAAAAGAATTCAAATAAATCTATCACCTAAACACTTATTACTTCGCCTATAGTACATAAAATATGTTATGTAAGTTATTAATTACTAAAACATAAATAAATACAACTTACCAAGTCTTCATATTATTACACATTTGCAGAGATTAGAAAATAAATACTCTTCAATTAATTTATAATCGATGCTCTTATCTCTGGTCTCTTTTCCTGCACTCTTTTAAAGAGTAAATTTTACAAAGAGTAATTGATTTGTTTTCTCTTGCTATGCACTCTCTGATTTTGCACTCACTTTTTGTGTGTTTCACAATGACAATAATAACAACAACACACTTGTTAACCCGACGCGTCATTTCTAATTTGCTTCTTCCTTTTTCAATGAAATGTAAATTCACATTTTAAATGGATTTTTAAAAGGAAATATTAACAAAAAACTGAATTTAATTTAAAATACACTTTTCCCGAAACAATTCACTAAAATTTAATTATGATTTCACAGGTATTTCGCCAATATTAACAAACAATTAACCGACCGACACGGATTGCATTGATATGCAACGCGAGCTAAAATACAACTGATGAGGTGACATGATGTATTTCACAATGCAGAGCAAAAGGGAGAGAAATATAAAGACGTAACTCTTTTTGACATTTTGGAATGCACGCATAATAGAAGAACGAATTGTTGTTGTTTTGAATTACAAAAAGAAAAATAAGAGGAAACTTGACAGTGCCCGCTAGCAATGAAAATTCCAATTAACTAAATTTCGTCAGTCTTGTACTAGTTATAAGCCGTACTAGTACCAAATGTGTCCCCAAGTAATGCGAATGGAACCAATTGACACCTTTTCGTCCCCAAGTAAACGAAGAGGCGACAGTTGTGCATAAATAAAAAACCACCACCAAAAAACCAACCAACAGACAAGTTAAACGAACATTTGAATGAGATCTCTACGAACAAGAATCACTTTGAATAGTTAGGGGTTAGTCTTTTGTCTCTGGTATATGACTGTAAACCTGGAACTAGTACAATACCATCTACAGGTAATGCAAAAGGAGTCAATTGGTTACCTCGTATGACATCCCCATGTTAAAGTTTACAGTTGTTTGCACTGTGAGGGGTCTTAAGTGGAACTAGTTACTGTAATCCTAAGAATCGACGAGTATACGGTGCCGAACTAGTCCACATTGCTAGCGGGTGGCTTCTCATAAATTGCAATTGAGAATAGTTGAAAAAAGGACAGGGAAGTAGATTAGAACAGAGATGCGCCAAATATAAAAAGTGATTATTTTATAGACTTTAGTGTTTTTTTTATTTTATTGGAAATTGAAAAAAATGGAACATTGATTTTTCTATGATGTAAGAAAAATTGGCTTCAACTTAGAAATGGGTAAATGCTCATGTCAGACTTCGAAGTATAGTTATAATTTATGCCATGGTCCCTGGGCCATACGAAAGAATTTGAAAAGGCATTTAGGCAACGTCTGAGCATTAATCAATCAAATAGCACTGTGCCACAACATTCAAATTTTTATACCCTACAACACTATGTGTTGGGGGTATTATAAGATTGATTGGGCCAGAATTTATGTAACAATATCGAAATATTATGTAACAATATTTATGTAACAAAATCGAAATATTGGTTTCCCATATATTAAAGTATATATGGATCTTCCTAGCTCGCCGAGCTGAGTCGATCTAGCTATGTATGTCCGTCCGTCTATCCATGTAATCACGCTACAGGTCGCAATTATGGCCCGATCCTTACGAAATATTGCACGAAGGTGGGGTTAGGGTCAGAATAGAAGCCTATTTCTTTTGGAGATGGTCGCCAAATGTTTAGGGGTTGAAATGGACCAAATACTGAAAAAATGTCGGATTTTGCAGTAGCTATACAGGTCGCAATTATAGACCAATCGGGGGAAGAAGTCTACCAATTTGAGTGGTCATCGGATAATATTTAGCGGGTAAAATAGACCATGTCTTTTGTGTTGAAAAAATTCAAAATTTTTCATTAAACCGTGAATTTTTTTAATCCCGGCGAAATCACAAAGTCATGATAAGGTTACTTCTGACCTTTATATTGATGTTAACATCCAACAAATCGGATATATAGCAAAATATATATATAGCAAAATATGTGTCTATCAAAGAAGATATGCTTGAAAGATCTGTTATATGTCGAGAACGGCTGAACTGATTTCGACAGTTCTCATTAATTCAGAATGGCCTCTTGGCAGGAAAGAAAAAACGTCTAAAAGAGATGAAAATATTGGTTTTGTAACATTTTCTCATATTTTTTTCAATTTTGTCATATTTTTGGCATATTTTCATTTTGAATTAAACATTTGGTAATATTTCTACAGCTAACAAAACTAAGTAGTTAGGATATTAGGATATCATATACAGATCGCATTTACGATCCTTACGTAATTTTGCATGGGGATAAGATGAGGGTCAGAATAGATGCCTACTCTTTTTGCAGATTATCGCCATATATTTAGGGGTTGAAATACACCAACAACTGCCAAATTGTCAGCAGGTCGTATTTATCGCCCGATCCTCACGCACATTTGAATGGGGGTTACCGCACATTGCAAAAGCCAAGCAGTTTCGGATGGCCATCCAAAAATATTCAATGTGTGAAATAGTTTGCCAACTTTTGTAGACTAAACACGAAAATGTCCATTCCAGCAACATCTACCAATAAATTGGAAATGAGCAAATTCGTTTAAGCTGCTATTATCCGAAAATTAGAGAACGAAACCTGATGGTTTTCTTTTATTATTTGTCACAATATCTTGTGGAATTCTTTCGAGTATCTCGCCTGTATAAACTGTATGGTTTATTATGTAATTGTAGCCTTAGCTTACTTGTTTTTTCTGGTTCTAGTTTAGTAATAATTGCGAAAAAAAATTATACAACATTGATGAATTAATTATAGGTATCAAATTAAATTTGTAATTTCATTCCAATAAAAGATATCTTTCTCCCACAGCATGTCATTCCCCAATCGCATATAGCATAAATAATGTAATTATATGAAATAAATACTTTCATATAGCACAATTAATCCTACTCCTATCAAAGTTAATCCTTATGCTGTGGTATAATATTTAATTAAATCTTAATTTCCTTTCATTAAATCGTTTTTGCTTGTTTTTTTTTCTCCAACACATTTAATTTTCTTTCATTTTTTCTCACTCCTTTTATTTCAGATAAGTGGTTTAATCACCAACACCGGACACAGTGTCATATTCACAGCGGGTAACGACACAGTGGCCAATTACGATGGCATGCAGACGCCCGTCAATATCACAGGTGGTCCGCTGTCATATCGGTATCGATTTCATGAGATTCACATACACTATGGACTCCATGATCAGTTCGGTTCGGAGCACAGTGTCGACGGTTATACGTTTCCCGCCGAGGTAAGTCCCCTTCCTTTTTATGAAAGCAATGCCATCCACATTCAAGGCAAACCCTTGTTGCTTGCTCAGAGTAAACAAATTGCAGGATTATTAAGTGATTTTTGTTGTTGTCTTTGTTGCTTTTTTTATTTGAAAAATTTAATTTTCATAAAACAAAGCAAAGAAATCATTTATTTGTACACGTTTGTAATATTGTTAGATAAGTAAATATTTCACTCCACTCCGCTCCTTGCTGTGTTTATGGTTCCTTTGAAAACACGTACAGAAATTTACTCACACCACTAATGTCATGGTTTGAATGAACAATTGAGTTTGTGTGTGTGTGTGTGTGTTTATGTGCAATGATGATGAATCAGTGTCGGTGATACAGAGATGGGTAACATTCACGAAAATTATTTTCTGTATGAAATTTATATTTTTATAGTAATTTTTTTAAGAGAGAATGTTCTGTCCATTCCCCATAACACATTTGGAAAAGAAATTAAGTAGTAGGATCTGTTCGACTTCGAACATATTTTACTCACATTTGAAAATGAGCAAAGTGTACTTCCTCTTATTTATTTATTTTTTACTCGAAGGAATATTCTCTAGTTTTCCTCTCTACTCGACAGAGTTTCAGTCTCAATTCTAGAGAGCATTTCGGAGCTCTACTTATACAGACGACCTCGAAAAGAAAAGTAGGGATTAAATCCAGTGAAGTCAATTTGAAGGCCTACCTTTCATTTAAAATCGTCAATTGTATAAACAAGACCTCAAGAGTGTTATATATCATTAGAAGACTCCTGATGACTTCTGTATCTGAAGAAGACCCCTATAACGTTTTTTTATTTAAAAGTAGTGCTCAATACCTTCAATCTTATTCTGAAAGATATCTTTTCAAGAAGAACATATATGTAAAAAGACCTCTTCAAAGTCCAGGGAGGTTTGCTGTCTGAAGAAGACACTTTGTATGTTTTCTATTTTTAAGGAGAATTTACTAACAGTAGGACCTCTTGAAATGTTCTCTCTTTAAGTAAAAGAGATGCATTTCATTAATACTAAACCTCTTGAAAACTTATTTCTACATAAGGCCCCTGGAAACTACTCTTTTATTTATTTAATTTTATTTTTTTTTTCGATTGTTTATGATATATCTTCCATTTGTGGAGACAAGTAAAGGACATTTTGATTATCAACATCAAAATCCGAAGAATGTCTTCTATCTCTAGAAGACCTCTAGTATGTATATTATGAACGCAGACTTCTGAAAAGTGTTATTTTTATGGCAGACCTTTTGAACAATCAAATACCTATAAAACAACCTTTTAAGTTCTCCGAAATTTAGAAAACCTCTGAAAAGTTTTCAGTCTCATGAAGCCTAGCTAAAAAGATCTCAGAGGTCCCCTTATTAAGATCAGGTCACTGGAAAGGCTTTTATTCGTTTAATACAACTGGAAGGACATTTTTTAAAAAGGAATCACTATAAGGCATAGGTCTTGAAAAAGGCATAAAAATTTTTCCTGTCTATATAGACATCTGGAAGAATTTCTTTGTACAAATCACCGAGTTAGCCAGGATGGTAGCCTAGGGGGGTCCGTAAACAGTTATATATTTTTAGGGAATTGTTCTGTAAAATCTCATCTGTGGCGATTGGCCCCCACCGATGTGAATGTCTTATATTCAAGGGATAAGTTTGAAAGGACTTTTCTATATGAAAGATATCTGATAGGTTCGCAAACTATGAATGACATTTGGTAGGTTTTCTACATATAAGCCCCCTGGATGATATTTTATTTGAAGATGATATCTGCTAGGTTTTCTTTTTAAATAAGAACTGTGGAAGGACGTCTATCTATAGAAGCTTTATATTTAAAGAATGTTTTTGTGCTGGTGGTTCCATAATAAATCTCAGGAAGATTGAATTCTACAGAAACCATCAATACATCTGAAAGTCCTTTTAGTCTTATAGTAGAATTTTGAAAGAACTTGCAAATATATCTATTTATAGTAAACTTTATTACAAAAGACCGCCTTTTATACATAGCGATCTTTTATGGATAGATGTCCTCATATCTAGGACCTCTAGAAGGTCTTCTACCCACAAATATAGGATGAGATAAAAAAACTGCAACAAAGTCAAAAGCCATAATTTTTACATTTGTTTTTAAACTTTATGGAATGAAAGCAAAAATTGTCGAAAATAGCATCAAATTTTAGAATAAGATTAGATTTTTTCGAACTGGTCACCTTTGGCACGAATTATGGCCTTCAAACGGCCAATGAAACCGACACAAGCTGCCCGCATGATGCTCTGCGTTATTTGGCCCATTCCCGGCGAAGCGCTTGCTTGAGGTGATCGACACTTTGGTATTTTTTTAGTGCCAACCTTGCTTTCCAATATACTCCAGACACAATAGTCCAACGCATTGGTATCCGGAGATTTTGGTGGCCATTGTGCGCTGAAAATGAAGAGAGAAACATCATTTTGTAACCATTCTTGGGTGGCGCGTGCTGAGTGCGAAGTTGCTGTGTCCTGTTGGAATGTCCAAGGTCTGTGGCCAAAATGTTTCGGGTCCAATACACCCTCCAGAATATTTTCGCGACAAAATTCGGCATTTATTCTGATGCCATGGTCGATTAATACGAAAGGAGAGCGACCATCGGCTATTGTGGCGGGCCACATGGGCGCCCACATGGCCCTTGAGTTCTGGTGGCCAACCGAAGGTGCACTTTTTCAGCTAACCTCTTTTTTGTTTTCTTATCGGAGAAAACCAAATTTGGCAGTTCACCACTTTCGGTCAAGCGAAGCAACTCTTTAGCTCCCTTAGGTCTATTTTCTTCCTGTTGCGGTGTAAGTTCTTGTCCTTTTTGGAAGTTCAATGGCTTTACCCCGGGCTCATTTTTCAATATTTGCCGAATGGAATATTGCGATATGTTCAGCTCACGAGTCATTTTTCGGTTACTGCGACGCGGTTTTCGATCAAGTCACTTCTTTACTTTTCGAACCATTTCTGCTGATGTTGCAATTTTTTTCCGTCCACTGCCTTGACATCGGGCTACGCTTCCAGTATCACGGTAACGAGCGATGGTACGAGACACAAAAGATTTATTCACATTTAAATGCTGGAGTGCTCTAACTGTAGCCACTTGTGGTTCTCCTGCCAAATATAAAACGAATATTTTTTTTTCTGGAAAATTCTCACCAAAATGATTTGTACGCATGTAAACAATGAGCTGTCACTGGAATGATTTTAACAGCTGTCAGACGAGTGGCTTGGCAATGACAGCAGTCTGAAGTTGGGTACAGTTGTTTTATCTCACACTGTATATCTGTTGGAAACCCGACTGAAACTTCTAACCTAAATGTCTGCATGAGTCTTACAGGCTCGTCTAGCCATAGAAGACGTAAGGAAGTCTATAATATGACTCTGACCTTATTACCTTTTATGTTCATTTTCACCTTTGAAGTCCCCCTAGGTTGGTTGCTTCAGTTCAAATCCTGCGTTAACCTCACGTTCGTTACAAATATCATTACATATGACTACTTGAACAAATACGAAAAAAAGCAGCAAAAACAGCAACAAAATGAAACAATTCCAAGTGCAAATATATATTTATACTTACACGTGTATGTACACTCACGTGCACATGTATGTGTGCAAATATTTGTAGATGTATTTTTGTGTCAGATGTCAGACAGTCAGGCAGTCGCTCGTTCGTTATGAGCTACGGCATTTGTGTGAACTACAACGTTTTGTTCCACTAACTGACATTGTGACATTTGCTGTCGTCAATACACAATGACAGAGCTTAAATTGTAGCCAGCCTACTCGGAGCCCTCGCCGACCCGTTAATACTTGACAATGTTTACATTGAATCTGCGTCAGTTTATTTTTTCCCATTTTGTTCGACTCGGCGACTAACTACTTAGTTAAGCGAGGGGTGGGCCATGGAATGCTGCTACGCGCTTTGGCAGTGAATTGTTGCTCGATGTCATGTTTATGAGTGTTTCTGCTTTCAGATTTCTAGGTTAAATATTTATTTAGACAAACGAACGAGCGAACGAATGGAGGACGAAGGAACAATTGAAAAAAAAAACGAAAGGAAATACATTTGATCGGTAAATGACAGGCAAAGAAAAGGCCAACAAGCACATATCTGCACACATACATGTGTATATGTGAGTGTATGACCCCCGCTTCCTTTTAGCCCGGAGCCCGGTAACGAGTTAGTTGCTTTGGCAGGAGCCAAAGCGTAAGTGTTATAATAAACGTTGAGTGATTTATTTACACATTCCCCTCGTAAATCATATATAAAGTAAGGGCGAGGAGGGAGGAGGGGGTCGGAATGTACGAATTATTATTGTCATTATTGTTATTAGACAAGTGGAAGAAAAGAACATATTGTTCGGGAAAACAGAGAGAAAATCTGGAGTGTTTTTCAAGTATTTGTTCTGCGACAAAGGAAAAATGAGCATGATTTGTTGGCTGACTTCTTTTGCCTCCCCAAATTTAATAATTTGTCGACAAGTTCGTGCTTGATTAAATATTGACTTTCTTGATAATTGTAACCAAGGGCAGAAAGAGAGAGGATTCTTATTGAGAATTCTTCTATTGACATTAATATATGAAAACTGTGGCAATGTTCGCCGCCATGACTTTGCAATTGTTTTGGGCAATTGAGGGAATAAATTAGGAAAGTAATCGCAATAATGAGACTCCGATGTGGGGGGGGGGGGGGTAATAATGAAAGTAAGCACTTTGTCGTTATGGATATGAATTTCCTGAGTGGAAAATTTCTTTCTAACATGAAAATCAATATTTTTGTGGGGTTTTCATTAAAGCTGACTGTCATTGATTTTAAGAGAGTAGGATATTTTTGTGAACTAGATTTGGGGAAGGAAGTTGTTTATATCCATATCCTACACCATAGTTTGGTAAATGGGCATTTACTTGAAATATGAAAAGGAAATCTGATAGACCCGTAGTTCCTTCTGGCGATTTGATCGATGTAACGTTTTT